GGCCAACTAAATATATATAATATAAAATATCTTAAGCCGGGTTGTGTGGCTGTGTGGTCTGTTACTGTGTGAGGTGTGTGGAGGATTGTTGACCCAGGATTTGAGGTTGCTGTGATGCGAGTGCTGAAAAAAAAAAAAAAAAAATCTGTATGCCAAAGTGGCACATCTTGGAGTGGCATCTTCTGCCACCCTTCACCTGAAAGGCTGTGATGGCTCATAGCAGCTCCATTCATAATTGCAAAAAGATAAACAAAGTGTGACACATCCAATAACTCAATAACAAAAGTGAACAAGCCAGGCGTGGTGGCTCACACGTGTAATCCTAGCACTCTGGGTGGCCAAGGTGGGAGGATCGCTTGAGGTTGGGAATCCATGACCAGCCTGAGCAAAAGCGAGACCCCATCTCTACTAAAAATAGAAAAATTAGCCGGGCGTGGTGGCGCATGCCTGTAGTCTCAGCTACTCAGGAGGCTGAGGCAGGAGGATCGCTTGAGCCCAGGAGTTTGAGGTTGCTGTGAGGTATGATGACACCACTGCACCCTAGCCTGGGTGACAGAGTGAGACTCTGTCTCAAGCAAACAAACAAGATAATAATAATAAAAGGGAACAAACTGCTGATATATACAACAACATGGATGGGTCTACTATGGTGAGTAAAGGAAGCCAAAGTCAAAACGCTGCATGTTGTATGATTCTGTGTCTATGGCTTCCTGAAAACTACAAAGCAATAGGAACCAAAAACAGATCAGCTGGGGCCAGGGTCTAGAGATAAGGGAAGTAGCACAAGGGAGCACGAGGAATTTTCTTAGGGTGATGGATATGCTCGCTGAATGTGGGGTTTCATGGTGCACATGTATGCCAAAGCATGCAATTCCATAGTTTAAATATGAGCAGTTTATGCTTGGTCAATTAAGTCTCAACAAAGCTGGGAAGGAAGGAAAGGAAAGAAGGGAGGGAGGAAGGAAGGAGGGAGGGAAGGAGGGAAGGGAGCAAGGGATGGAGGGAGGAGAGAAAGAAAGAAAACCAATGTGGCAGCGGTGGCTCACGCCTGTAATCCTAGCACTCTGGGAGGCCGAGGCGGGCGGATTGCTTGAGATCAGGAGTTCGAAACCAGCCTGAGCAAGAGTGAGAGCCCGTCTCTACTATAAATAGAAAAGAATTTAATTGGCCAACTAATATATAGAAAAAATTAGCCTGGCATGATGGCGCATACCTGTAGTCCCAGCTTACCCAGGAGGCTGAGGCAGGAGGATCGCTTGAGCCCAGGAGTTTGAGGTTGCTGTGAGCTAGGCTGAGGCCACGGCACTCACTCTAGCCTGGGCAACAAAGCGAGACTCTGACTCATAAAAAGAAAAGAAAAGAAAACTAATGTGGCAACCATCAGCGAAATAAAAAAACAAATACGTCCTGAAACCCAGAAATGTCATTTTTTTTTTTTTTGAGACAGAGTCTCACTTTGTTGCCTAGGCTAGAGTGCAGAAATGTCATTTTTGAAAAAGTAACCTTCACAATGAAAGATCCAGTCTCAAGGATGTTGGTCCAAGGACTTGTCCTGCATTATCACAGTGGCAAAAACCCGAAAGCTCCTGGGATTGTCCATCGGTAGGATAATGGTTGAATAGACTAAGGCAGGGTCGCACTATATACAAGAGTCGCGTGTATGCGTATGGACTGCTACAAGGTGCAGGGTGACTGTATAACACGGTTTCATGCTGTGTGTGTCCCAGTTTGTACCAGCACTGAAAATGTCTTCCACGAGGGCAGTTCCAAGGATTACACCTGGCAAATCCAAGGGTAACATTGCCCCCTAGGGGACATCTTGGAGATTCCTCTACAGATAGTCCCTGACTTATGATGGTTCTACTTAAGGTTTTTGAATTTTACAATGGGCTTAGCCAGATCTTAAGTCAAGGAGCATCTGTATTTGAAATACATCTCATTACAAATTATTTTCCTGGGCACTCTAACGAAACAGCTCTTATCAGCGACCAAACACTTGCCAAACTCAATTGTTCAATTATCTTTCCTCATCTTCCTCAAACGGCTGACCACTCTCCCCATCTCGAAATACCTTCTTCTAGAGGTTTCTAGACGGGGACTCGCATCTCCTTCTCAGTCTCTTGCAGGATTCTTCTGTGACAGACCCTGGTCTCCTGAGCCCTCTTCTTTTGCTATACTTTGCTCCTCACAGGGTCTTGCTATGTTGCCCAGGCGGGTCTCAAACTCCTGGCTTCAAGTGATCATCCCAATTTGGCCTCCCAAAGTGCTGGGATTATAGGCGTGAGCCACTGTGCTGGGTCTCAGGCTAGAGACAGAGTCTCACTTTGTTGCCCAGGCTAGAGTGTCGTGGCATCAGCCTAGCTCACAGCAACCTCAATCTCCTGGGCTCAAGCGATCCTTCTGCCTCAGCCTCCCGAGTAGCTGGGACTACAGGCATGCACCACCACACCCAGCTAATTTTTTGTATATATACTTTTAGTTGGTCATTTAATTTCTTTCTATTTTTAGTAGAGACGGGGTCTCGCTCAGGCTGGTTTCGAACTCCTGACCTCGAGCAATCCGCCCGCCTCGGCCTCCCAGAGTGCCAGGATTACAGGCGTGAGCCACCTCGCCCAGCCCTCAAACTAGTTTATTTATTTTATTTTTTTTTATTTTTTATTTTTTTTAGTCTTTCTACCTGAAGCTGAAAACCTCAAACTAGTTTAGAAACCTCCTCTAGCATTATATGCTCTGAGACCTACACACCCTTTTCTGCTTCACTGAAGAGTGTCCTAAATGATCCTGTTTGTAATATTTAAGTCCAGACTCTTCACAAAATTGTGGGAATTTTGGGTCTTGCCCTACTCTTCCTCCCAGCTCCAAAAACAGAGCTTGGCTTCATCCATTAATAATACCCTTACCACATATACTCACCAGCAAATTGGTATTAACTGAACAGCACCTAAGTGGTCACATAGGTACTGCAGTAATAGGGTGTTGGCATGGTGGACGGAGGGGGTATATACATTATAATGAGGTGAGATGTGCACCATCTGGGGGATGGTCATGCTGGAGACTCAGACTTGTGTTGTGGGGGGAAATGGGCATTTATTGAAACCTTAAAATCAGTACCTCCATAATATGCCGAAATAAAAAAAAAAAAAAATAGGCGGGCGCGGTGGCTCACGCTGTAATCCTAGCACTCTGGGAGCCGAGGCGGGTGGATTGCTCAAGGTCAGGAGTTCAAAACCAGCCTGAGCGAGACCCCTCTACCATAAAAATAGAAGAAATTAATTGGCCAACTAATTATATATATCTTATATATATATATATATATATAAATCAGCGGGCATGGTGGCACATGCCTGTAGTCCCAGCTACTTGGGAGGCTGAGGCAGGAGGATGGCTTGAGCCCAGGAGTTTGAGGTTGCTGTGAGCTAGGCTGACGCCACGGCACTCACTCTAGCCTAGGCAAGAAAGCAAGACTCTGTCTCAAAAAATAATAATAATAATAATAATATTACCCTAGCCTGGGCCAGCACCACCTCTCATCCAACTACTGCTATGGCTTTGGAACTGGTCTCCCAGTCCCCTCTTCCAACTATCCTCCACTCAGCAGCAGAAGTGACCTTTCTTAAAACACAAACCAAACGTCACTCCTCTGCTCAAAAATTTAATACAAGTCCTAAACATGGCCCACAGGGCCCCACGTGATCTGACCCCTGTCTGCCTATCCAACCTGATTTATTATATCCTGGACACTCAAAGTGTGGTCCGCAGACCAGCTACGTGGATGGCACTTGGGAGCGAATTAGAAATGCAGACTCTCAGGCCCCCCTCCTAGACCTGCTGGATGAGAATCTGAATTTTTTTTTGTTTTAGACAGTGTCACTCTGTTGCCCTGGCTAGAGTGCCATGGCGTCAGCCTAGCTCACAGCAACCTCAAACTCCTCAAACTCAAGCAATCCTTCTGCCTCAGCCTCCCGAGTAGCTGGGACTACAGGCATGTGCCACCATTCCCGGCTAATTTTTTTATATATTTTTAGTTGGCCAATTAATTTCTTTCTATTTTTAGTAGAGACGGGGTTCTCGCTCCTGCTCAGGCTGGTTTCGAACTCCTGACCTTGAGCGATCCTCCAGCCTAGGCCTTCCAGAGTGCTAGGATTACAGGCGTGAGCCACCACGCCCAGCCCAGAACCTGAATTTTAAAAAGATTAGAACGGAGGGAGTGTCCCAGGTGGGGAAACCTAGGTGTGCTGGGAGGGGCTGGGGCTACAAAGGGGAGAAGAGAGAACACAAGCGAGGCAAGCCCAGGAAGCTGGTGCAGCTGACGGCGAGGCTGCCTTCCCAGCGCTGGACGCCCCGCCCACTGCTCCCGAAGCGCGGGAACGATCACTCCTTGCAACCGACCCCAGGCACAGGCCTTGAACGCAGTGAGAGTAAATAAACGCGCCCCCGCCCTCGCGCAGGCGCACTGCGACCGGGCCGCCGAGTACGCAAGCGCACAGAGAAGCGGCTGGAGGAGGCGGGACTTACTCTCCCGGTAGTCTTGGCGGCGGGTGGGCGGAGCCTGAAAAGAGTGATTTCCGCTTCCGCCCGGAGCTGGAAGTCACTGTCTCCCGGGTGAACGGGGCCATTGCAACGAGGGAAGGCGAGTGCAGGTGACGTTTCTCGCGGGCAGGCGTTGGGGCCGGGCCGGGGTGGGCGTTTTTCTACTCACGCAGCTCACGCGGTCCTAGAGGAGGCGCCGGGGGCCCCGGGCTTGGGGGGCGGCCGGTCGGGGAGACTGAGTCTCCCGGCCCCCAGCCTTCTAAGCGCGGCTACTCGGGCACCTGGGTCCTACCGGCAGCTGGCTGGAGGCATCGCCGAAATCTCGGTGAGCTTGAGGGAACCCCCAACCCGCCGCCTCTTGTGTCCCATCAGGTTCTGGGGACGACCCCTCTTCCGGCCCCCCACCCCCACCCCCTTGGCGCCCTTAGACTTGACGTCGCCCCAGGAAAGGCCGGGGCCTCTGCAGTCTTTGTGCGAGCCAGACCCCTTTCCTGGGGCGGGGGGGCGGGGGGGGCGGGGGTTCTGTAGTCACAGGGTAAAATGGGATTCTGGGGCCCATCCATAGATGGGAGACATCTGTGTTCAGGTGAGTTATCTATTCATGCAACAAATAGTTATTAAGCGCTTAATGTGTACCAGACAGTATACATGCAAGGGATTCAGCAATGGCCAAAACATGTCCGCACACAACTGACATTCTAGTGGGAGGAGATCTGGGGTTAGGTTCACAGATGAGCGTTTTTGAGCACCTCCACCCCGTCCGCAGGTGATTCTATCACAGCTGGTCGCTGGGGATGAGCTTTTTTTTTTTTTTTTTTTTGAGACAGAATCTCGGCTTGGTTGGCCCAGGTAGAGTATGCTGTGGCGTCAGCTAGGCTCACCGCAACTATCTCTGGTGCTTCAAGCAATCCTGCTGCTAAGCCTCCGAGTAGCTGGGACTACAGACTGGCCTGTAGTGCCGCAGCTACTCGGGAGGCTGAGGCAGCAGGATTGCTTGAGCCAGGAGATTGAGGTTGTGTTGAGCTAGGGCTGACGCCACAAGCATCCACTTTTTAGCTGCGGCAACAAAGGCAGATCTGTCTTCACAAAAAAAAAAAAAAAAAAAAAAAAATGCGGTTCCACCCCAACATGCGCGTGACATAATTTTTCATAAATTCTCATGTCTCGAAATGGCCAATTAACTACAAATTCAATTTCGTTAATCTTTTATTAGTCGGACGGGGCGTCTGCTGATTGCTCAGCCTGTTTCGAACCCACCCTCGAGCAAAATCCCGCCACGCTCGCCTCCTTGAGTGCTAGGATTACAGGCGTGAGCCACGCGCACCCCTGCGGGATGAGCTTTGAAGGGCTGGGAGACTGCCCTGACAGGGGAGAGCATGGGCTACAGACCAGGCTTGGACTCTTACTTAGCTTTCCGTGGTCTCTGTTGGTCTGGATGATGCGTCTCCTGTCATTTTGCACTCTATACCTTTCTCGCCATATCATGAGTACCCTGCTCTGACATGTATCATTAACTTTGTGTTTTATACCTCGTTGTACTAAGGAATATTTGCGATCATTTTGCTTATTTGTTTGTGTGTTAAGGGTCTGTCATCCTCGCACGCAGACAGTTCTTGGTCCTGCTTGTTAATATGGCAGCATACAGTATGCTGTCAAAAAGGGTTAGGCTGGGCACGGGTGGCTACACGCCTGTTAATCCCTAGCACTCTCGGAGGTGACCCCGTGGGCGGATCATCAAGCGTCGGAGTTCGGAAACAGCTCTGAGCAGAGTTGAGACCCTGTTTACTAAAAACAGAAAGAAATTAATTGGCCAACTAAAAATATATAGAAAAAATGAGCTAGGCATAGTGGTGCGTGCCTGTAGTCCCAGCTACCCAGGAGGCTGAGGCAGGAGGATCGCTTGAGCCCAGGAGTTTGAGGTTGCTGTGAGCTAGGCTGACGCCACGGCACTCTAGCCAGGGCAACAGAGTGAGACTCTGTCTCAAAAAAAAGGGTCTGTAATTTGTGCACTCATTCATTCATTCAGTAAATATTTGTCGAGTGCCACCTCTGTGCCATGAACAGTTCTAGGCTCTGGGGATACAAAGAAAAGACAAAAATATCTGCTTTCGTAGAATTTACATTTGGAAGGTGGTGGGTGAGGTTGGAGACCCAGGGAGACCAATGAGGAAGCTGAGATGACCATGACTCAGGACCATGGTACTGGTCCCGGAGGAGGTGAGAAGTGGTCGGATTCTGGGCGTATTTCCCAGGTAGAGGGACAAGGGCAGGGGCAGGATCAGATAAGGGATGTGAGAGAGAAAAAGGCATGGAGGATGTTTGGTCTGATTACATGGACTCGCTATTAGCGGAGCTGAGGAAGACTACAGGAGAGCAGGTTGAGGTGTCAGGAGGTTGGTTTGGAGCGTGTTGTGTGTAAACATTTGTTAGACATCGGGTGAAGGTGTGACTGAGGCAGGCAGACCACGAGCCTGCAGTTCAGGGGAGACATCCATGCAGAGGGGGCGTGAAGCCCCGACACCGGGTGACATCTCCGGGATCTCGAGGCGAGTATAGCTGGAGAGGGGAGAAGGCTGAAGACTGAGCTCATTAGAGAAGTTGGTGGAGACGCAGGAGCTGCGGAGACTCACAGCCACCAGTGAGGCGGGGCAGGAGAGCGTGGGGTCCTGAGAGCCACGAGGCAAGAGTGGGAGGGCAGTACGGAGCCACTGGTGACCTTAGTTGGGGGGCAGTCAGGGGCGTAGGAGAGAATGGGAGGGAACGCAGACAGTTCTACACTAGAAAAGCCTGCAGAGAAACAGGTGGTAGCGGGAAGAGACTGAAGAGGTTGTTTTTTTCCTTTTCAAATGATGAGGGAAGTGATAACGATGTGTCTGGGATCTAGTAGAGCTGGGAAATTTTTTTTTTTGAGACAGAGTCTCACTTTGTTGCCTGTGCTGTGGCGTCAGCCTAGCTTCATAGCAACCTCAAACTCCTGGGCTCAAGTTATCCTCCTGCCTCAGCCTCCCGAGTAGCTGGGACTACAGGCATGCGCCACCATGCCCAGCTAATTTTTTCTATATGTTTTTAGTTGGCCAATTAATTTCTTTCTATTTTTAGTAGAGATGGGGGTCTCGTTCTTGCTCAGGCTGGTTTCGAACTCCTGACCTTTAGCGATCCTCCCATCTCAGCCTCCCAGAGTGTTAGGATTACAAGCGTGAGCCACCAAGCTCAGCCTGAGCTGGGAAATTCGATATTGCTGAAGGGAAGGGAGACAGGACCCAGAGCAGAGTGGAGAAGCCGTTTTTGCGGGAAACACAGACATACTACACTTTCATAGTAAAAGAGGGAAGGCCGAGTGGGGCGCTCTTTCCATTGCTGCTTTTACTTGGTAAATTGGAAGCACCTGCAGTGAAGGGTGAGGCGGGTGCTACGGAGTGATCACTAATTATGAATGAAACTCTGCTCTTGATCCTGGGTGACCTGCCCTGCTGTGGAGGAACAACGCTAGAGCAGCAGTGGGGTATCTGCGCCAGGCACCGTGGGAGGGTCAGGGGTGGCAAGCCCAGCCCTGAGCACGGCGCCCGGTATGCGAGTTGAGCTCAGGGGTAGCTGCTGCTGTTTTCCTACCCAGCTGCCTCCAAGAAATCTGTCCCTAGACGTCCCTCTGGCACCTGACCCCCCTCCATCATTTTCCCCAACACTCTATGTGTTAGATACCAGAGAACGATGTCACCTTCTCTCCCTGGCCACCAACTTGTGTCCCCTTCACCTCCTCGAGAGTCACCCTGGACTGTCCTCTCATCACAGTCACTCCGGCGACTCGTCTCTTCTATCTGTCCACCCCCTGCCATCTGTCCACACCAACAGCCCTGCCCTGGCTCTGCCTTCATCTTTATGCAGATGAAGATGGCTCACATGCCTCCGTCCGTCAAAAGCACACGGTGATCTCATCCTGTCCCTGCTCACGGCCTCCAGGAACCATCCAAACATCCACCACCCTCCCACCTGTCCCTGTTCTCTCCCCACTGGCCAGGGGACAGGCACGTGCCCCAGAGCCTTCACGCATGGTATTCCTCTACTCAAAGTGCCTGTCCCTGCTTCTCTGCCCAGCAGCCTGTCATCCCAGCCGGCCCATCTGGAGGCCATCGCAGCCCCCTTCTCAATGGCACTTGCGTGTCCCCCGACAAGAGGAGCAGCCGAGTAAAATCACCAGCTCCTGAGCGCGTGGGCCCGGCCCAGCCCTGCCCTGTTGGCCTGGCCTGGCCTGTACTGTCATCTCTTGTGTCATCCTCTCCAGGAACAGTGACTGCTATCGCAGGTGCCAATAATGGATGGGCGGGGCCCTTTTGCCGAGCCTTTAGCTTACCATTGCTTGAGCCAGCCCCGCAAGGCTCCTCTGAGGTAGTGACCTTGTCTCTAGTGTATGGACAGGGACCTGGGCCACAGAGAGTTCAAGTAACCCGCCTGGGTCATGCAGTGAGTGGGGGAGTCAGGGTTAGAGCCTGTCCTCACCCTTCCCGTCCAGAGTGCATCGGGACTGTCCTGCCCAGGGACGAGAGCTTCGTGCCTCAGAGGTGGAGGCTCGGACACCTCTGTGCATGCGCGGTGGTCCCTGCGCCACTGACTTCTGCCCCACCCCACACAGGTGTGCCCACCTGCAGACATGGGACGCAGAAAGTCAAAACGGAAGCCGCCTCCCAAGAAGAAGATGACAGGTACCCTTGAGACCCAGTTCACCTGCCCCTTCTGCAACCACGAGAAGTCTTGTGACGTGAAAATGTGAGTGGGGAAGCGGGCGCGGGATCCTGCCTCGTGGGGCGCCCAGGGCTCCTCTTCCCCCCTCCCCTGCCCCTCACCGCCCTGCTTGGGGCGTTGTCACCCTCGGGGCCAGGGGTCGTTGCTCACCAGTCCCTCCGCCACTGCCCGTTTCAGGGACCGTGCCCGCAACACCGGAGTCATCTCTTGTACCGTGTGCCTAGAGGAATTCCAGACGCCTATCACGTGTATCCTTGGAAAATAAGGATTTTTCCAGAGGGTGGAGGCGGGGAGGGCAGGGCTGCTTGGCGCACCTGGCCAGGGGTGAGGGGCGAGAGTGCAGCTTCTGCTCCGCCGTGTGCCCTGGTACAGGGCAGTGGCTGCTCAGAGGAACAGGTGCCACCCACTCATCTGTGCGGGGTGAGAAGTTGCAGGGCCGGGGTCCAATGCTGCCAGTCGCCCTTGACCTCAGCGGCTCAGATCTGTCAGAACCCGTGGATGTGTACAGCGATTGGATAGATGCCTGCGAGGCAGCCAATCAGTAGCGACGCAGAGGACCCACCCCCTGGGCAGCCCCGCCTACCGAGGATGCGCCCGCCGGGTCGGACACCAGAGACATTCCAGGGGTCCAGGGTGTGGGTCCAGGGCTGTGGCTCGCAGCCCGCCGTGTGTGTGGAGTGGGTGTGAGTGTGTGTGTGGCTGCCGTGTGGCTGTGGCGTGGCCGTGGGTGTGCTTTCGGACACGTGGTGAGGTTGAGGGTTTGCTGGGCCTGAGGGGCCTGAACTGGCCTCACTTGGCTCCAGAAGCCTTTGCCTCGCTCCCTGCTCCCCCGGCCCCCTGGCTTTGGGGCTCTGGCTCCTGGGGGTGGGGGGCAGTTTCCCGACGCCCCGGGAAGGGAAGCCTGGGAGAGGCTGGAGCGGACCCTCTCCGGCCACCTCACCAGCACCTCGCCCCTTTGACTGGACTCCCCGCTTCCTCACCTTCCGATGCCCGTGGCCTGGAATTGGAAGCCACTGTCGCGCAGGTCCTTGACTGGGCCCTGGAGGGAACCAGCCCCCTGTGCTAACTGGGAAGCCTCATTTCATGTCACTTGCCTTTGTAGAGGAGGCAGGGGCTGGGTTGGGGGACAGCTGTCAGTCACAAGCCCTTAAATAAAAGCAGCCGATGCAGATCCCTGGCCATCGTGATTTCTCAAGTTCTATGTGTGCCCCGAGCCGGAAGTGAGGGGGAATATGGGGCTGAAGCCTTCAAGGGGCGACCTGGAGGCCCACTTGGTCAGTCTTGCCACTGTCTGATGTTTTAGTCACTTGGTGAGCACTCAGGGTGCCCAGGACGCTGATGGACCAGACCGACATCTGGCCCGGTGTTTACAGCAATCACTGAAAAACGTCACTGGGGAGATGGGACAGAGAGGGCTGTTGGGGCACTTCCTGGAGGGGTGGCCTGAGGAGGTGATGCTCTAAGGTTTGCCAGCGTCACCCCCATCCCGGTAGCCACCCTGTGGGGCAGGTGCCGAGGCAACTCCAGGTTCAAAGTTGAGGAAACTGAGGCCAGAGATGGGGGAGGTTGCTGGCCAAGGTCCCACAGCCAGAGAGCGGCACGGATGGGATTTGAACGCAGGAAGCCGGACTCCTGGGTCAGAGCGCACAGTCTGACTTCCCTGCGAGTGTGGGGTCCTGGCCGAGGGGACGGCTCATGGGCTCTCCTGGAGTCTGTGGGGTGCGGAGGTACACGGGAGGGGGGCAGTCCAAGAAAGGGACTTTTTTCCAAGGGTGGTGAGGACTCTAGGAAGGTGCACGTGGGGGCCGGATGCTCGCTCTGACAGTGGCGCCTGAAGTCACTTGGGTAACGGGGGGACTCCAGTGCCCAGCAGCCTGGGGCAGACCCAACTCCTCCACCCGGCCCCATGAGCTGGGGCAGCAGGTGACCTGTGCTCCACCCTCCTCGTACAGCAGGAAGGAGGAAAGAACCTTCTTCCTGGGGCTGTGCTGAGGATGGAAGTGCCAGGCGTGCTTTGAGTGGCCCTGGGGCCCACCCAGGGCAGTTTCAAGTGTGAACGACTGGGGGAGGCGTTAGCTGGCCCTGAAGCCCTCGCCGCTGGGCTGCTGGGCCTGCCATGCGCCCCCCAGGCCCACCCTGGTAATCTTGCCGCCTCCTTAAGGCCCAGGGAAGGTCCCTAGCCCTGGCAGGAGCCAGTGGGTGTGGGCGGAGAGGTGGCCAGGCACCTGGGTTGCAGGGTGCCCTTCCGGATCCAGCAGGAAGGGGGCTCGTGCCTCTGGCGTCCAGGCCCTCCCTGGCGCCCGCCCACCCCAGTCTCACAGGCTGAGTGCTAATATGGTGCTGTTTTCCTGAGAGGCAGGCCCCAGGCCAGGCGCGGGTCCTCGGCATAGCTTCCCTGCGCCGGCCTGGGGGAGCGGGACGCGGTAGCCAGGCCAAGAGCGCCTGGAATCCAGTTTACGAGGCCCCAGGGGTTGTGCGCATCTGTGCAGTGGGGACTTCTGGTGTGTGTCTGCAGATCCCCACGTTCCAGCCCCGACCCCTGCCCTCCCTGGGAAGGGAAGGGGGAGAAGATGGCTCCCTGCCCCTCCCCTCTTTTCCGCACCTTCTCCCTGGAACCCCGATGGTTGGTGGCTTCCAGGCGGGGTGGCTGGGGCTGTCCTTACGGATATAACAGGGTCCCCTCTGAAACGTGAGAAGATTGGGGCCCTGTCCATGGCCTTCTAAAGTGCTGGGCTGGCAGGCCAAACTCCAGGCTCAGCTTTGAGGGGACTGGGAGTGAGCCAGGCATGCCCAGGTAGCCACGCCCCATGGCGAACTGTTCGCCTGCTCTGTGCCGGTCAGCAAAAGGCCGGTGCCCTGGCCCCGGAGTGCCCATCATCCCCCACAATCCAGGGTTAAAGTGTTCATGGGGCCACCAGGGCCTGCTGCTCATTGTTTTTCTCATTGTTGGTGCCCGGACCCCATCAGCAGCTAAATATTTGGAACAGCACCCCCTGTCTAGGGTTCATTTCATTTACGCTCTCCCCTGACCCTGCAGGGATCACTGTCCCCATCTTCCTGTTGGGGAAACAGAAGTGGGCGCCCAGGGTCACCCAGCCAGTGGGCAGCAGATGTGGGATTCACTTCCTATCTAGCTGGTCCCAGTGCTCGGGCTCTGTCACCACAACCTACAGGCCCCACAGGAGAGCTGCTGGGCATTGTGTGTGTGTGTGTGCACACGCAAATATTGTGTACGTGTGTGTATCGTGTGTACACGATACAGCTGCGTGTATATTGGCCCTCCAAGTATACCTTTTTTTTTAAGGAAAGGGACAGGGGTCTCGCTCTATGGCCCAGGCCAGAGTGCAGTGGCTGACTGTAACCTTGAACTCCTTGGCTCAGTTGATCCTCCCACATCAGCCTCTGGAGGAGCTGGAACTACAGGCATGTGCCACCACGCCTGGCTAATTTTTTTCAATTTTTTTTTTTTTTTTTTGAGACAGAGTCTCGCTTGTAGCCCAGGCTAGAGTGAGTGCCGTGGCGTCAGCCTAGCTCACAGCAACCTCAAACTCCTGGGCTCAAGCAATCCTGCTGCCTCAGCCTCCCGAGTAGCTGGGACTACAGGCATGCACCACCATGCCCAGCTAATTTTTTTTATATATATATACATTAGTTGGCCAATTAATTTCTTTCTATTTATAGTAGAGACGGGGTCTCGCTCTTGCTCAGGCTGGTTTCGAACTCCTGACCTCGAGCAATCCGCCCGCCTCAGCCTCCCAGAGTGCTAGGATTACAGGCGTGAGCCACCGCGCCCGGCTTTTTTTCAATTTTTGTAGAGATGGGGTCTCACTATGTTGCCCAGGCTGATCTCAAACTCCTGGGCTCAAGCGATCCTCCTGCCTCTGCCTCCCAAAGTGCTGGGACTACAGGTGTGCGTGTCATGGGTGGGAGTGTGTTCTGTATATCTGTGCATATCTGCACACACAGATATGTGTGCACATCTGTGTGTGAGCAGGGGGGAGCGTGTGTGTGTGTGTGTGTGTGTGGATTTTGCGTGCGAGTGAGACAGGGTGCCTGTCCTGTCTAGCCGAGTGGCTGTGAGGTCCGTGTGTGTATCAGCGTGTTTGTGTGAGTCTGTCCGCGCAGATGTGTGTGCGGGGAGCTGGGTGGATCCTGCCAGAGCAGCCCTGAGGCCTCGGGTGACTTTACAGCCGTTTATTGTGCTCCAGTGAAGTAGAAAAAACAAAGTGCTCGCGTTCCAAACGCTGCTGTCACATCCACGTACGCCAGTCGCTGCAAACCAAACCGCGTGTGTCCGCTGGGTCTCTGGGCATGCAGTTTGCTCCCACTATGGGGACAGGGTGGGGGCAGGCCGAGCCTGGGCTCTGGGGGCTTCGCTTGGGGGGCTTCTGGTCCTGGGGGTACCCACTTGTGAGGGAGTGGGGCGACAGCTGGAATAGCTTTGCTCAGTGCGTCCTTTGGGTGCTGTTGGGGACACCCGGCTTTATGTTGGACCCTGCAGCACTACAGGGAGGGGTCCCCCACAGGCCCCCCAGTCTGCTTGCCCCAAACTCTAACCCTGTAGGCAGGTGCCAGGGGGCTGGAGGGCGCCATGCAGGGAGAGGGGTCGGCTGGGCCGGCGGGGTCCAGCCAAGGGCAGCGGCCAGCCTCCCTGGGGGGAAGGCGGGGAGGCGGCGGCCTAGGCGGAGTTGTAGTAGTTGTGCGGGTGGTGGTTGTGCGCGGGCTCGCCCAGCTCCGGGTAGTCGGGGTTCAGGCAGTACTTGGGGTCGTAGACCTGGCGCGGCAGCCCGTACACGGTCATGCCCCGCTGCGAGGCCCCCTTGTTGCTGCCCATCTGCAGGCTGACATTGAGCGTGTCGCAGTGCTCCATGCCCAGCCCGGGCTCGAAGATCTGCCGCTTGGTCCCTGGCGCGGTCATGCCGGCCTGTGGAGGGCAGCGCGGTCAGGCCGTGGGGACCACCGGGGGGAAGGGCCGCGCCGGCATGCCCCGAGGACCCCGCTCACCTGGCTGGCACCCTTGTTGGTGCCCATTTGCAGGCTGATGGTGGCCTGGTCCAGGGGCTGGTCTGTGCCCAGCTTGGGGTCGTAGAGGTGGCGCCGGGTGCCGTAGGCCGTCATGCCCTGCTGGCTGGCAAACTTGTTGGTACCCATCTAGGAAGCCAGAGAGACAATCACAGAACCTCACCTGGGTCATGAGCAGTAACTGACATCCGAGGACGAGGGACCGTTGCATTTTTCAGATTGGAAACCGAGGCCTGGGGTGGGCGTATCACGTGATCAACTTCTAAGGTTCCAGTCCCAGCCCACCATGCATGAACTGGGAGATCCAGGCAAAAGGGAGCTGGCCTCTCTGGGCCTCAGTTTCCCCATCTGTAGAAAGGATGTGATGGTAACATCACCTCCCCACAACGGCTGTTAGCGGAGCGAGTTTGTGAACGGAAGATGCTGAGCACCGTGCCCGGCCTGTGGCTGATTAATGACAAATATCCCGTCCCCAAAACCTTTCGGGGACCAGGGTGCCTTCCTGGCCTCCTCAACTTCTCAGCGGGGAAGGGGCAGTACCTGCAGCCCGATGATGTTCCTCCCTTCTCTTAGCTTCTCGGGCTCAAATTTCCGCTCCTGCTTCTCGGCGTACTTCACCCCCACGTTCACCTTGTTTCCTTTCGTCTTGGCCTGGGTGGGGCGAGGAGGGTGGGAGTGACGACGGGCCTCCAGACTGCATCGTCCCCTGGGAGACCCCTGGCGGCACCTGCCACCCACACCGGGCTCAGGGGCACCAGTGGCCACACGTGCAGCCCAGCCCGGGCCACCCCCCCACACCTGGGCCCACCCTGCACCCACACTCACCATGCTGGCGAGGGCCAGGAGGGTGGACTGCACCTGGGTGTGGTTGGTGTTCTCAAACAGGTCGTTGGCCTCAAAGATGTCATGGGGCTTCACCCCGTACTTGGTGATGGCCTTGATGAAGTTGCCGATGTTCTCCAGCTGGTGGGGAGCGGGCAGCCGGGGAAGGGTCAGGGGTGGGCGGGTGGAGGGGTGGGCGGTGGAGGGCTGAGGGGCTTGTGGGCGAGGGGCTGCAAGGGCCTGGGCTTACCTGGTGCCAGTTTTGGGTGGACTCGTTGACCTTCTTCACGGAGCCTGGCTGGAGCTTGTTGATGAACCTACAAGGAGCAGGGGAGGGGAGTGAGGATGCCCGTACTGGCTCAGCCCAGCGGGTAGGGCATCAGGGTGACCGAGGGTGGGCCATACACTACAGGTACATGCCACCATGCCTGGCTGATTTTTCTATTTTTTGTGGAGATGGGCTCTCACTCTTGCTCAGGCTGGTCTCGAACTCCTGGACTCAAGTGATCCTCCCACTTTGGCCTCCCAAAGCGTTAGGATTACAGGCATGAACCACCGTGCCCGGCCTCTCTGCCTTCTAAATACCTCCAGAAGCCCCCCCCCAACTCCCCACCACCTCCACCCTGGTCTAAGCCACCAGTGTCTGTCTCTTGGGCTCTTGGGGCCCCCAACTTCCACCCCATCCCTACAGACCCTTCCTCACACAGATGGCCATTTGAGACAATTCAAGTTATCCTCCAGTTCAGAATCCTGCAGTGCCTCCCCGCTGCCTTCACAATCAAATCCTAAGTCCTTGCCGTGATTAAAAGGTCCCGGGTTCACTGTGACTTCCTCTCCCTGCACTCCCCGTCACTCACTAGGTGCTGGCCACGCTGGCCTCCTTATGTTGCTTGAACACCCCAAGCACGCTCCCACCTCAGGGCCTTTGCACCGGCCATCCCCTCTGCCTCCAACGACCCCGCTTCTCTCAGCTCTCCCAGCTTCCTCCCTGCGTCTATCTGGGGTTCCATTCAAGTGTCACCAACTCAGAAAGCTTCGAAGCCCACTCTATAAAGAACAGCACCCCCCCCACACACACCCCCAACCTGCCCCTCTCATCCTCCTTCCCCACGCGACTTTTCCCCAGGGCACTTGCCACCACGGTCAAGTCCGTGGTGATTTGATTGACTATGTGACCTCACCGCCACAGCTCCCTGTTCAGTCCTAGTTGCTGCTAGCTCCTACCCCGTCTGTTCACTGCCCCCGTGCCTGCTCCAGAGCCTGGCACCCAGCAAGTGCTCCGGAAATCCTTGCCGCGTGAGCGAATGACCGAGTGGCCGGCTGGCTCTGTGCCGTTGGAGACCCGAGCAGCCCTCTCTCTGTCTGAGCTGGGACACCAGCCTCCCCCGCCCCCTGCCCTGTGCCCCAATTCCTTGTTTCTAGCAGACGAGGATGGAACAAGATAAACACCGCCCCCCCCCAGTCCTCCCCAGCACCTTCAGAAGGCCTCCTGGGGGCGCTTGGGTCACCCTGCCCCGGGTCAGACACAGAGATGCAGATAGGATCGCCCCCAGCGCTAGGCTTGCTGTGGATTTGGGGCCATCGGGCTCTGAAATGGAGTAAAAAGCCAGGTCCTTGCCGGTGAGGTGGCTCACACCTATAATCCTAGCACTCTGGGAGGCCGAGGCGGGCAGATTGCACGAGGTCAGGAGTTCGATACCAGCCTGAGCAAGAGCGAGACCCCGTCTCTACTATAAATAGAAAGAAATTAATTGGCCAACTAATATATATAGAAAAGCTGGGCATGGTGGCATGCCTGTAGTCCCAGCTACTCGGGAGGCTGAGGCAGCAGGATTGCTTGAGCCCAGGAGTTTGAGGTTGCTGTGAGCTAGGCTGACGCCACGGCACTCACTCTAGTCTGGGCAACAAAGCAAGACTCTGTCTCAAAAAAAAAAAAAAAAAAAAAGCCAGGTCCTACTTAGGATGTCTGTCCCTTACCAAGCCAGCCATGGACAGCTATTGTTGCCAGCTGCCTATTAACTGTGACCGCTCTTTCTGGGGACTCTGGAAGCCATAGATGGGCCTGCCCTGTACAACATGGTGGTTAAGATTCTGGAGTCATCCCCATTGAGACAGCCTAGGACTTTGGGCAAGTGTGTTAACCCAACTGGGCCTCAGTTATCCTGGCCTGTTAAATGGGCGCAATGACTGTCACCCCAGAGGACTGTTTTCAGGTTTCCGATACAAAGTGTTCAACCCAGCTGTGGGCTTCATGGTCGTTGGAGGGGTTGAGGGGCCACGTGGAGATGGGTGTTTGGGTTGGGGGTGGCCCAAGCAGGGTCCAGGCCAGGAGCCCCCCACTCACTCGCAAAGAATGATGCCGTCCTTCAGGCCGTCCATGAAGTTGTTGCCGATGCGGCGCCCCGTCACCCCCTCGATCCACTCTCTCAGCTCCTGCTCCCGCTGGTGGTCGTACTTCTGGGCCAGCTGGGGGCGGGGGGCACGGAGGGGCGGTGAGGAGGCGGTGGGGAGTGGCCTGCGCTCCCTGGGTCCCATCCAAGCCTCCCTCGGCCTGGTCTCCTGCTTCGTCCCTTTCCAACTAAGGCAATTCTGCCCCAGCGTCCGTGGGGTGGGGGTGGGCACTGGGGTGGGCTGAGGGCCAGAGCTGAGGTGGCACCTGCCCAGGGGGCCATTCCGGGCATTCTGAGGTTTGGCACCAGAAAGTGCAGACGGGGGGGTGGGCGTGGAAAGCCAGATCCTTAGGGCCGGAGGGGCGAGGGGCGGCGCCTGGCTTCTTGGTTCCCCCTCCAGGCCAAACTTGGGGTGTATCTTCCTCTGGCCCTGCCCCCCTGTTGGAAGAGGGGGCGCCCAGGCAGGGGAGGAGGAGATCTAAGGAGGCACCCATGGGTGCTGGCTTGCAGGGGACTGCTCTGTCCTACATCTCTGTCTCTGTGTCTCCCCAAGTCCCCATCTCTGGTGCTCTGCTGGTGCTGGGGGTCTAGCCTTGGTCTGCCCCCACTCCTTGCGTGTCTGTATGTCTCTGTCTCCCCACCAGCTCTTGTCTGTCTGTCCTTGGCCCCGTCTTGGAGTCCCCATCTCTCTGGGTGGCTAGTCCCTGTCTGGCCGGGGGTGGGGCTGGTGCATCTGGCCTCTCTGCCGCCGCAGGTCATTCTCGGTCCCCAACTCCAAGTTCCCAGCCTCTGACGGGGGGTGGGGCGCGTCTGTCTCCATCGCTGTCCGTCTGGCTGTCTAGGTCTCATCTGGCTCATGGGTCGCCCTCCCCGGCTGTCTCTTTGGTGTCTCAGCCTCCCAGTGTCTCTGTCTGTGTCTCTTTGCCCCCACCCCCACCTCCGGTTTCTCCAGAACCCTCCGCCCCAGCCCAGCCAGGCTCCCAGTCTCTGGGGACCCGGCTGCCCCTTCTCCCCGGTGGGCGGGGGGAGGTGCGAGGGGCGGCCCCCTCACCTGGCCCCGGCCCTGCCGCCCCCCTCCCCACCAGCCCGGCTTTATAAAGCAAACCGGCCCTTATATAGCGTGGCCCGGGCTCCCCGAGGCCGCCTTATAAGGCGCGGCGGCTCCGCGCGGCTCTGGGGCCGGCGCTGGGGGGAGGGGGCGGCGCTGGGATCCGTCTCCAGCCCGAGCACCCGCCCCCCGCCGCGTCCTCCTCCAGCCCCAGGGTCCCCCCGACCCAGGCTCCAATGCCTGCTCCCCACTCCCTCGCTATGGGACCCTGGGAAAAGTCACCGTGTGCCTCAGTATTCCCCTCTGTCAAATGGGACTAGACCGCCTTCCCGGCAGCGCTCTTGGGGGGATCCCAGTGGGGTGGGAAGGCCGAGTTTCCTATCCTGGAGAAACTGACCCCATTCTGGTGTGGGGGGAGTGAATCCAGGGCCCCAGCTCTGTGCCTGCCTTACCTGGGTCCCTAGCCACTCGCCTCTCCTCTCTGAACCTCAGTTTACCCATCCATAGCATGGAGGCACTGTCTGGATATCTTCCTAGCTCTGCAGCTAGGAGCCCCCTGCCATGTTTCTGATGCCCACAGCCCCCTGCCTTCCTCCGCTGTCCCTGTCTACCCTCAGCATCTCCCACAGTTTCTGGGCTTCACCTCCCAGGAACCCCAGGTCTGAAGCACTCCCCAATATTTCTGTTAGGCTGGGGGTGTGGGAAAAGTCAACAAGTCTTGCCCCTACGGCCCCCTCCCATCCAGGAACACAAAGGGTTAACGGAGGACGCTGAACAGGTAGGCACCTTTGCAGGACTGAGCCCCTCTGTCTCTGTGTGGCTGTGCCCCCAGCAGTAGTGAGCTCTCTGGGATGTCCCCAAGGGGGAGCAAGGCAGTGCCTGCCCCATGCCTCTCCCTCTCCCCCTCTCAGGTTCCAGGTCACATGGGGTAGGCAGGAGGGACTTTAGGGAACCCCAGCATCGGGGCTTCTGGCCGGGTAGGCCTACCTTGTTCTTGACCTCGGCCGACAGCCCGTAGGCAGGGCCTCTGTTGAAGTGAGCAGCGGACATGCTGGCTGGTGGGCTGCGGCCGGGGCAGTGGTGGCGCTGACTCTGAGCACGGTGGCGGCAGCTGGAGCTCCGTCTGCACCCTCTTCCCTCCTCACACGTTTTTGAAGCTCCGGAGGCGGCCCGGGTCTCTTCCAAGGCCGTTCCATTGGACACAGGGGCCTGCCAAGGGGCGGAGCACCCCCATCTCGGCACCCCCCCCTGTGATGTCAGAGCCTTGGTATTGGGAGCTGATTGTGTCATTGTTTCCACCTAGGGGGGCAGCCTGCATTACGCTTAGGGGGGGCTTGATCCGACACAGACCAACCTTCTTCTGTCACCCCCTTCTCCGCCCACCGTCTCCCAGGCCTCTGGCTGAGTCTCTGAGTTCATCTCCCTTCTCTTTCCAGTTTTGAGGCAGGACTGTCACCTGTGGTAGTTTGCAGAGCACCATCCTCGGTTTAATTCCAGATACCAACAACCTATAACCTTAGGCAAACCTTTTCTCTGGGCCTCTATTGCCACATCTGTAAAATGGGCTAATGACAGTGCCTGCCTTATGGGAGGGTTGTGAAAATCAGAAGAAATAATGCCTTGGACATGCCCAGCACAGCGCCTGGCACAGGGGAGGGGCTCAGATGATAGCATCCTTTCTGCTGAGGGCCCAGCACCCCCGTTCTGTCTGCTCCAGCCACTCATAAGCACCTGGGGGACCAGAGATCCTCCCCATCTACCTGAGGGTCACCTGAGCCATGCAGTGACTGTGTGGTTGAGTCCCAGGCCAGGCATGAACTATGTCCCTGTCAAGCAGCCCCATCTGGCCAGATCTCCCCCCTGGACCACAGGGATGGATGCCATGTCCACATATGTCACGACCACGCTAGTGACACTTGGATGACATGTCAGCATCCTGCCCCACACTAATGATATGACAAGAACATGCAGTTTACCGGCCCTGTGCTAAGGACATGGCTGTGACATGCCCAAATGACAGCAGCCCTATGTCAGCCTTGTTCCGAGCACTGCATATGTATCCACTCAATCTACCCAACACTCTCAGAGGTGGACACTGTTATTACACTCATTTTACATGCAGGGAAACTGAGGCACAGGGGCATGGAATCACTTCCCAGTGTCACACAGCTGGCCAGGGGCAAATTAGAATTTGATCCTGTCCCACGAACCTTAGCCGTGGGACTAAGGCAGGGTGTCTCAACCGCAGCACGTCTGACAGTTGAGGCTGGGAATTCCGCATGGTGGGGGCTGCCTTGGGCATCACAGGACTTCAGGCATCATTCCTGGACGGATGCCATCGGCACCCCCTTAGTTTTGACAACAAGAAATATCTACAGGCATTGCCAAATGTCCCCGGGTTGGGGTGGGAAGAAGATCGCCCCCGTTTGAGAACCCCTGTGAGCTAAGGCCATATGCTAAGGACCAGTGGATGCTGGGTCATGATACGTTGAAGATACACTGAAATACACATTAACAACGTGAGCTAACAATTAGCATCTGCTATGTACTACGTGTTTTGGATCCGTTAACTCGTTCCCCACAATAGCCCTAGGAGGTGGGGTCCATATGAGGCACAGAGAGGTGCAGCCGACTATTCAGGTCACACAGCTCAAGGGAGGCGGAGCCGGGATTCGAACGCGCAGATTCCTGGATCCTGCCCACGCTGGCCGGCCCTCCGCGGGCCACAGGTCGCTACTGTGCGCGTGAAGACCAGCGCGGGGGCCCAGCTCGCGGCCGGCACCCCCGGGCAGGCGGGGCGGGGCGGGGGCGGGGCCTGGCGGGCGGGGCGGGGCGGGGCCTGGCGGGGGTCCGGGCGGCGGCGTCACGCGCTGACTCACTCGGCCCGGCCGGGCCGCGGCCGCTTGGCCATTTATAGCATCCGCGCGGGCTCTGAAGTCACGGCCCAGGCACGACGGGGGAGGCCGGGGGAGCTCCTGGCGCCCCCGCGGGCAGCCCCGGTCTCCCGAGGGGACAGCCCTTTCTGGGTCAGCCTCGTTCCTCGGATTCTGGGTCTGCGTCTCTGGGTCGCCGTTCGTCGTCTGTCTGCGTCACCACGGCCCTCGCTGTCTCTGCCTTCGTCTCTGCGTCTCCGTGAATCTGCCTGTCCCTGCTCCCTTCTGTCCTCGGGTCTCTGCGCGCGCTCCATTGTCTCTCATCTCTGCGTCTCTGAGTCGTTGGTCTCTCTCTCGGTGTGAATGTCGCCGTGTTGTCGCTGTCTCTTCGTGTCTCTGCCTAGTCGATGGGGCTAGAGGCAGACAGAGAGGGGACCGAGCCCATCCCAACACCCCAGTCCCAGGGGACTTCCCATCACTGACTGCCCTCTGAAATCCCCTACTCTCAACTTTGGGGAGACCCCCTAAAATCTTCCTGATGCTCAGAGCCATTTAAAACACACGCACCCCTTTGTACCTCTGTTGTCTTGGGAAGAGAGTTGAAAGCCCACGTGCCAGCGCCCCCGTGCCTCGCTGCCTCCTTCAGAAAACAGGCTGAGGCTGTTGTTCCTAACCGCTTCTGTTCCAGGAGCATGCACTCCGTGCCAGGCACTGTACCAGGCGCAATTTCATTTCATCTTCACCACGACTGCCCTCTCAGGGTGGAAGCTCTTGGGCCCATTTTATAATTAAAGAAATTCAAGGTTCAGAAAGGCCAATCCACTGTTTCAGGGTCATATTGCTCCTGCCTTTCCTTCTAGATCCTTCCAGACGTAGTTTTTTTGTGTGTGTGTTCCAAAGCACATTCCCACTTTGGAACCCTTGCACTAGCAGTTCCTGACACCTGGAACCCATTCTGCAAGCTGCCTGCATGGTTTCTCCCTCAGTTCAGTCTCTACTCAAATGTCACCTCTTGAGAGAGGCCCTCCCTGACCGCTGCCCTAAAATAACAGCATCCCCCACCCCAGACTGTGAGAGGGTGAGCAGGAGGCAGCTGTTCACTTAAGTGTTTGCACCTGACAGTGGGTATTTTTATTTCCATAAAAATTTCAATTTTAGGGATGGGTGTGTTGGTTCATGCCTGTAATCCCAGCACTTTGGGAGGCCAAGATGGGTGGACCACTTAAGGCCATGAGTTCAAGACCAGCCTGGGCAACATAGCCAGACCCTGTCTCAAAAAAAAAAAAAAACAAAAAAAACAAAAAAACAAAACAGGTGGGCATGGTGGCAAATGCTAGTAGTCCGTTACTCGGGAAACTAAGGTGGGAGGACTGGGCTTAAGTCCAGCCTGGGTAACACAGCAAGATCCCATCTCTAAAAAAAAAAAAAAAAATAGATAAATAAAATTAAAAAGTGATTTAAAATTTTTCTCTGATTGGACACAGGAGGAAAGACAAAAAAAAAAATATCTCTTACCACTCTTTCTTCTTTCTTTGCTTCTTTTCTTTTTTTTTTTTTTTTGAGACAGAGTCTCACTTTGTTGCCCAGGCTAGAGTGAGTGCCATGGCGTCAGCCTGGCTCACAGCAACCTCAATCTCCGGGGCTCAGCGATCCTCCTGCCTCAGCCTCCCGAGTAGCTGGGACTACAGGCATGCGCCACCATGCCCGGCTAATTTTTTGTATATATATTTTTAGTTGGTCAATTAATTTATTTCTATTTTTGGTAGAGACGGGGTCTCGCTCAGGCTGGTTTCGAACTCCTGACCTTGAGCTATCCGCCCGCCTCGGCCTCCCAAAGTGCTAGGATTACAGGCGTGAGCCACCACGCCCGGCCTGCTTTCTTTTTCTATTATTTTTATTTTTTATTTTATTTTTAACTTTTTTTTTTTTTTTTTGAGACAGAGTCTCACTTTGATGCCAGGCTAGAGTACCGTGGCATCAGCCTAGCTCACAGCAACCTCAAACTCCTGGGCTCAAGCGATCCTCCTGCCTCAGCCTCCCAAGTAGCTGGGACTACAGGCATGTGCCGCTATGCCTGGCTAATTTTTTCTATATATATTAGTTGGCAATTAATTTCTTCTATTTTTAGTAGAGACAGGGTCTCACTCTTGCTCAGGCTGGTTTCGAATTCCTGACCTTGAGCAATCCTCCCGCCTCAGCCTCCCAGAGTGCTAGGATTATAGGCGTGAGCCACCGCACCTGGCCTGTTTTGTTTTTATCATCTGCTGGTATCTTACATACGCATTTGCTTATGATCTGTCTCATCCTGTGAGAACAGAAACTCCACGGGGGCAGGGATTTGCCTGTTCACCTTCCTATCCCCAGTGCCCAAAACAGTGCCTGCATGCAACAGGCACTCAAAAACTGCTCATTGTATAAGTGCAGTTAAAGCAGTTGAGCTGGGACTCAAACACGCATGTGTCTAAAATGTTGCTGCTTAACCACACCCAAGGGAAGGACATGATTTCCCTGCATCTTCTGATGGATGGTTGAGGTGGGGGTCCCCTTTAAGTTTCCCTTTCTCCCCTCGCTGGAAGAACAATTAGAGGAGGGGATGAGGGGGTTGGGTTACAGGCTGTGGCTATTCCAGACTATTCTATAGGAGCTTCCCATTCCCTTGTCTAGCCTTGAGCTTTGCAAGGAGATGCTCTGTAGGAAAAACATCTGGATGAACAAGAAAGCTTTTTAAATAAAGCAGACAGGTGAGTATCAGATTGGCAAAAACTCAGAATGCTCAGTAACACACGATGCAGGGGAGGCTGTGGGAACATTGTTGATGGGTGTGGGCGATCTGTTGATGGTTTTCCAAATGAGAAATGTCCTTACCTTCTGAACCAGCATATCCTCTTTTCTGGAATATTCCTAAGAAGTACAAGTGTAGGTGTGAAGAATGACATATGTGCAAGAACATTTATTGCAGTGGCCTTGTCATAACAAGTCATCCATCAACGGGGGACAAGGGAAATAGACAAAGATGCAGTCAGAATATGCAGCACTTTGAGATAACTGGAAACACCATGGTGCTGTGGTTAAGAGTAAGAGTGGGGGCTCTAGATCCATATTCTGTGGGTTTGAGGCATGCCTTGGTGTATCCTGCTGTGCCAGAGTGCTAGGATTACAGGTGCAAGCCACCATGTCCGGCCCCTCATTGCATTTAATTGTCATCTCTCCTTAGACTCCTACAGTCTGTGTCAGTTTCTCAGTCTTTCACGACCTTGACAATTTTGAAGAGTACTGATCAGTTATTTTATAGACTGTCTCTATATTTGGTTTGTCTTGATTAGATTGAGGTTTTTGCATTACTGGCAAGAGTA